TGGTGCAACACCTATAGCATCTATACCTGGTGCAACACCTATAGCATCTATACATGGTGCAACACCTATAGCATCTATACCTGGTGCAACACCTATAGCATCTATACATGGTGCAACACCTCTATAGCATCTATACCTGGTGCAAGCACCTATAGCATCTATAGCACATGGTGCAACACCTATAGCATCATGCAACACCTATATACCATGGTGCAACACCTATAGCATCTATACATGGTGCAACACCTATAGCATCTATACCTGGTGCAACACCTATAGCATCTATACGTGGTGCAACACCTATAGCATCTATACATGGTGCAACACCTATAGCATCTATACCTGGTGCAACACCTATAGCATCTATACCTGGTGCAACACCTATAGCATCTATACCTGGTGCAACACCTATAGCATCTATACCTGGTGCAACACCTATAGCATCTATACATGGTGCAACACCTATAGCATCTATACCTGGTGCAACACCTATAGCATCTATACATGGTGCAACACCTATAGCATCTATACATGGTGCAACACCTATAGCATCTATACATGGTGCAACACCTATAGCATCTATACCTGGTGCAACACCTATAGCATCTATACATGGTGCAACACCTATAGCATCTATACCGTGGTGCAACACCTATAGCATCTATACATGGTGCAACACCTATAGCATCTATACCTGGTGCAACACCTATAGCATCTATACATGGTGCAACACCTATAGCATCTATACATGGTGCAACACCTATATAGCAGCACCTATAGCATCTATGGTGCAACACCTATAGCATCTATACCTGGTGCAACACCTATAGCATCTATACATGGTGCAACACCTATAGCATCTATACCTGGTGCAACACCTATAGCATCTATACATGGTGCAACACCTATAGCATCTATACATGGTGCAACACCTATAGCATCTATACCTGGTGCAACACCTATAGCATCTATACCTGGTGCAACACCTATAGCATCTATACCTGGTGCAACACCTATAGCATCTATACATGGTGCAACACCTATATAGCATCTATACGTGGTGCAACACACTATAGCATCTACATGGTGCAACACCTCATAGCATCTATACGTGGTGCAACACCTATAGCATCTATACCTGGTGCAACACCTATAGCATCTATACATGGTGCAACACCTATAGCATCTATACGGTGGTGCAACACCACCTATACGTGGTTATAGCATCTATACCTGGTGCAACACCTATAGCATCTATACCTGGTGCAACACCTATAGCATCTATACATGGTGCAACACCTATAGCATCTACACCTGGTGCAACACCTATAGCATCTATACCTGGTGCAACACCTATAGCATCTATACCTGGTGCAACACCTATAGCATCTATACATGGTGCAACACCTATAGCATCTATACCTGGTGCATAGCACCTATAGCATCTATACTATATGGTGCAACACCTATAGCATCTATACCTGGTGCAACACCTATAGCATCTGGTGCAACACCTATAGCATCTATACATGGTGCAACACCTATAGCATCTATACATGGTGCAACACCTATATTGGTGCATCTATATAGCATCTATACCTGGTGCAGCATCTATAGCATCTATACCTGGTGCAACACCTATAGCATCTATACATGGTGCAACACCTATAGCATCATCTATAGCATCTATACATGGTGCAACACCTATACATCTATACCTGGTGCAACACCTATAGCATCTATACATGGTGCAACACCTATAGCATCTATACCTGGTGCAACACCTATAGCATCTATACATGGTGCAACACCACCTATATAACACCATCTATACATGGTGCAACACCTATAGCATCTATACATGGTGCAACACCTATAGCATCTATACATGGTGCAACACCTATAGCATCTATACATGGTGCAACACCTATAGCATCTATACATGGTGCAACACCTATAGCATCTATACATGGTGCAACACCTATAGCATCTATACATGGTGCAACACCTATAGCATCTATACCTGGTGCAACACCTATAGCATCTATACTATGGTGCAACACCTATAGCATCTATACCTGGTGCAACACCTATAGCATCTATACCTGGTGCAACACCTATAGCATCTATACCTGGTGCAACACCTATAGCATCTATACATGGTGCAACACCTATAGCATCTATACCTGGTGCAACACCTATAGCATCTATACATGGTGCAACACCTATAGCATCTATACATGGTGCAACACCTATAGCATCTATACATGGTGCAACACCTATAGCATCTATACATGGTGCAACACCTATAGCATCTATACCTGGTGCAACACCTATAGCATCTATACATGGTGCAACACCTATAGCATCTATATACGTGGTGCAACACCTATAGCATCTATACCTGGTGCAGCACACCTATAGCATCTATACCTGGTGCAACACCTATAGCATCTATACCTGGTGCAACACCTATAGCATCTATACATGGTGCAACACCTATAGCATCTATATACTGGTGCAACACCTATAGCATCTATACCATGGTGCAACACCTATAGCATCTATACCTGGTGTGCAACACCTATAGCATCTATACATGGTGCAACACCTATAGCATCTATACCTGGTGCAACACCTATAGCATCTATACCTGGTGCAACACCTATAGCATCTATACCTGGTGCAACACCTATGCACCTGGTGCACACCTATAGCATCTATACATGGTGCAACACCTATAGCATCTATGCATGGTGCAACACCTATAGCATCTATACCTGGTGCAGCACCTATAGCATCATCTATACATGGTGTAGCAGCAGCCTATTGCATCTATACCTGGTGCAACACCTATAGCATCTATACATGTGTGCAACATCTACATGGTGCAGCACCTATAGCATCTATACATGCAACACCTATAGTGGTGCAACACCACCATATACCTATAGCATATACATGGTGCAACACCTATAGCATCTATACCTGGTGGTGCAACACCTATAGCATCTATACCTGGTGCAACACCTATAGCATCTATACATGGTGCAACACCTATAGCATCTATACATGGTGCAACACCTATATCATCTATACATGGTGCAGCACCTATAGCATCTATACATGGTGCAACACCTATAGCATCTATACCTGGTGCAACACCTATAGCATCTATACATGGTGCAGCACCTATAGCATCTATACCTGGTGCTACACCTATAGGATCCATACCTGATGCAACAGAATCTACACGTATGACATTTATGATCGATACTTGTTGGGTATTATCCTATTAACCGATCACTTCGACAGACAGTATATTTATTCATATGTGGAGATTTAGTCTGCACAACCACAATTATAAAATATAACGTGTTTATTGGGGAAGAGTGAAGTTCCAAGTTTAAACCTTCATTTACGTAGGATCATTTCGACATATCATGAGAAGATATGTCCAACTATCTGAGCTACCAGCAGATATGGAACTGACATCTGGAGGTCAGCTGATCGTGGTATGATCAGGGTCGGAAACTCTGCCCTGATGCTGACAATCCATGTCACCTTCAAATATATGAACTAGTTTCTTCTGTAATTGTGTTGTTTTCACAGACATGCTCAGCTGTTCACTTCCAGGCAGCTGGCTAGCCTAGTTCGCGCATCAATTAACGGTCCGAGTTCGAGCCTGTATGAAGCCCTCTCCCGGTGTGCCAGCTGTGTTATTGCTGGGATACGGCTAAATTCTGAGCTTTACCAGAACGTAAGCTGGTCCAAAACTCTGATACACGTATCAAAATACAGTAACAAAATAACCCTTTCTTGTTTGTTTTAACTTTAGACACAATCAAACATAGTGTATATTTTCGTTTGCCCGACAATTTTAAGGAGTTAAGGTAAACCACAAAAAGAGGTATTTGAAAAACATTGTACTTTATTCTGTGGATGGAACCTTAGATCACAGAAATTGTATGAAGACAATGACATACAGAGCAGACTAGTCGTGTGAGGGGACAAATGTGGCCTTACGCCGATTTGATCATTGTTTCTGGCAACTCGGCCACACGTGTGCTGATCTCAACATATCCAATAGTGACTACATCAATTAGCAGGATCACAAACCTTGAAATAGTCAAACATTTTACAATACGAATATCAATAGTCAATTAGTTTTTTAAAATATTAATACGTTCAGAATTTTATTAAATTGTTTGTCGTTTACTTATTTTTTATTATTTCAATGTCAAATAAGATTGTCTGAGCCCATACAGAAACATAGTACTTCACGAATGTAAATATGGAGCCCTGCCAACTCACTGCAGTCGGCAATCATGCGTATCAAAAACGTTGCTAGAGGTAAAAAGTGCAGGCCACATGCTGTGTAATAAAAGCAAACTGGAACTTTCCCCTTTGTTTTATATATTACATTCCCTGCTATTGATGAAACTCAGTGCCGTTAAAAACAGGGAAGTTGTCACATGTAGTGTATAAAGTACTACTTGATGGTGTAGGTTCTGGTGCCTGTGAAGGTAGATGGGCTGTTCAGGTGAAATAAATAGTAAAAAACGTGGGGTTTAATGATGTTTGGTTGTTGTGATGTTGATTCGATATGAATAACTAGAGGTCCGTTGTATCCCAAACACCAAAATAATCATGCTAACAAATCTGCAATAATATAATTACAAAATCGTGAAAACCCAATGTTACAGGAATTATGAAACAGTATATATATCATTTGAGCATAACCTTAATATTTTGGATGAAACGCAGAGAATGTCATAATTTACTTTAGATTATCAAATTATAATTTTCTGGAAGAAACTGGCAGAAAATAACACAGTACAGCTGTATTAAAGAAAATGTCCTCCTTATCAATACAGAGATTGGAGGAGATGAATGCCGCTATATTCTTATCTGTACAGTTTTCAGCAACGGACTCTACATAGGTGCAAGTGAAACATACTTCTGTTCTGTAAAATGGCAGAATTTATGCTTGACAGGCATTCAATAAAAACATCCGTGCTTCCGGTCATCAAGACTCAAACAGAATGGTGGGATGACGTGGAACACTGTACAATATAGTAGTGACATGTTTCACAGGTGCTGAATTGAACATGAATTTACAACAAAACAATTCAGATTTCTGGTTATGCATTTTTGAATCGGTTAAAACATGTCACGAATATAATTTACAAATCTCTTGAAGCTTTGTTTCATTATAACCTAACATAGATAATAGAGTAATAATATAAAATAGCTATATTCAGTGAAATTAAATTGAATTTCAAAGGGGACAAAACGTCATCAATATCGTTGTCGTTGTCAGTGAAAATGTGCTTTAAAAACCAATTCTCTGGCAAAAAGATTAATATGGAAGTTCTAAAATATTATTTTAGCTGCATGTATAATATTTCTAAAGCACAACTTTGAGTTAGGTTAAAACACAAAGTATTTATCTGCTCCAACACATCAATTATTTATTCTTCAATATTTAATAAAGTCTACACACAATTAGTCTAAAATAATGTCCAGTATGCACGACAATATGACGTCCAAGGACATGTGATGCATGTGTAGAGAGGATACGGAACAACAACACGTCAGTGTGGTACAGTGGCTGTACAGAAGTATGACTGAAAAGTAGTTCTCGACTGATACAGCTTCTGTCGGGTACAAATTCTAACTATAATAGTTCACCAGACAGAGTAAAATAAGGAACAGAGACTGTTATAAAGTACACACAGTTTCATAACGGGTATCATTTTGGTAATTAGTTGTTCTACATTAAATGTAATGGTATTTTTATTTATTCAATTCGATCTAAAAATAACGTTTTGTGAGAGAACGTCTTCTTTTAAAATCTGTAACATTGCATGTAATTCCAGCGTTCCTCGCCGCTTGCCCACGAGCCACAACAGGAAGCAGTTAGCACTGATCATACCTTAGTCTATCGTAGATGTCTATCGTAGATGTTGGATGATGAAAATGAAAAACCAAGACAGTGAAATTGTATTCAGACCGACGAAAGAACGTGAGTTTGGTTTTGTGTCTTACTTTGTAACACAAGTATGACACAAAGGTGAATAAATTGGAGCAGGTCTGATTACATACTGCCAAGCACTGTTTGACATAAAGGAACTGACAAAAACATATGTAAGTAGAACAATACAGATTTGTGCATGGATTGTAATACATAAAGTAGTTGTATACAATGTTTCGATACTATGCATATTATTGTAATAACTTTGACAATGATGACTTTAAAATGTCAGCGCGGAAGAATCATACTTTTGCTGTGGAAAAATTCAACATCGCGGCAGTTCACACAAAGGGTAAGCATGACTACAGGTAGTTAACGCTGTTCACACAAAGGGTAATCATGTACTACAGGTAGCTAACGCTGTTCACACAAAGGGTAAGCATGACTACAGGTAGCTAACGCTGTTCACACAAAGGGTAAGCATGTACTACAGGTAGCTAACGCTGTTCACACAAAGGGTAAGCAGCATGTAACGCTGTTACAAAGGGTAGCATGTACTACAGGTAACACTGTTCACACAAAGGGTAAGCATGACTACAGGTAGCTAACGCTGTTCACACAAAGGGTAAGCATGACTACAGGTAGTTAACGCTGTTCACACAAAGGGTAAGCATGTACTACAGGTAGCTAACACTGTTCACACAAAGGGTAAGCATGACTACAGGTAGTTAACGCTGTTCACACAAAGGGTAAGCATGTACTACAGGTAGCTAACGCTGTTCACACAAAGGGTAAGCATGACTACAGGTAGCTAACGCTGTTCACACAAAGGGTAAGCATGACTACAGGTAGCTAACGCTGTTCACACAAAGGGTAAGCATGACTACAGATTAACACTGTTCACACAAAAGGTAGCTAACGCTGTTCACACAAAGGGTAAGCATGACTACAGGTAGCTAACGCTGTTCACACAAAGGGTAAGCATGACTACAGGTAGCTAACGCTGTTCACACAAAGGGTAAGCATAACTACAGGTAGCTAACGCTGTTCACACAAAGGGTAAGCATGACTACAGGTAGCTAACACAGGTAGCAAAGGGTAAGCATGTAACGCTGTTCACACAAAGGGTAAGCATGACTACAGGTAGCTAACGCTGTTCACACAAAGGGTAAGCATAACTACAGGTAGCTAACGCTGTTCACACAAAGGGTAAGCATGACTACAGGTAGCTAACGCTGTTCACACAAAGGCTAACGCTGTTCACACAAAGGGTAAGCATAACTACAGGTAGCTAACGCTGTTCACACAAAGGGTAAGCATGACTACAGGTAGCTAACGCTGTTCACACACATTGCATGAACAGGTTTGCTTTCGCTGTCTGAAAACTACAGGAGTACTCATCCATGTGAAGCAGCACGTCAACATTGAGGTGGTCACAGTTCGAGAACACCTGGTGTTCTTATTCCAGTTTATGCGATCCATTCATATAATTATCCTGTAACTTTTGTTTGATTGTCGTTATGATTCCAAGTATATATTCGTCGCTATATACCGTTCACACATTTATGGAAACAATTACAAACAGTTAAAACATACATAGAATCATGCACTTCCAAACAATTACAAACAGTTAAAACATACATAGAATCATGCACTTCCAAACAATTACAAACAGTTAAAACATACATAGAATCATGCACTTCCAAACAATTACAAACAGTTAAAGCATACATAGAATCATGCACTTCCAAACAATTACAAACAGTTAAAGCATACATAGAATCATGCACTTCCAAACAAGTACAAACAGTTAAAACATACATAGAATCATGCACTTCCAAACAATTACAAACAGTTAAAGCATACATAGAATCATGCACTTCCAAACAATTACAAACAGTTAAAACATACATAGAATCATGCACTTCCAAACAATTACAAACAGTTAAAGCATACATAGAATCATGCACTTCCAAACAAGTACAAACAGTTAAAACATACATAGAATCATGCACTTCCAAACAATTACAAACAGTTAAAACATACATAGAATCATGCACTTCCAAACAAGTACAAACAGTTAAAACATACATAGAATCATGCACTTCCAAACAATTACAAACAGTTAAAGCATACATAGAATCATGCACTTCCAAACAATTACAAACAGTTAAAGCATACATAGAATCATGCACTTCCAAACAAGTACAAACAGTTAAAACATACATAGAATCATGCACTTCCAAACAATTACAAACAGTTAAAACATACATAGAATCATGCACTTCCAAACAATTACAAACAGTTAAAGCATACATAGAATCATGCACTTCCAAACAATTACAAACAGTTAAAAAAGCATACATAGAATCATGCACTTCCAAACAATTACAAACAGTTAAAACATACATAGAATCATGCACTTCGAGACAATTACAAACAGTTAAAACATACATAGAATCATGCACTTCCAAACAATTACAAACAGTTAAAACATACATAGAATCATGCACTTCCAAACAATTACAAACAGTTAAAACATACATAGAATCATGCACTTCGAGACAATGTAAAGGTTTCAAACCATTTTCAAAATTAAGCTTCAGTAAATCTAAAACAGTTGTAGGAGCTAGTGAATATAAACTTTACATACAAACATGTACATGTATAAATACAAGGAATGCTATTTATTTAGCAACTTTTTTATGAAAAATGAAAAATATCCTTTAAATGAAGACTGTATTCTGGTACATGTTCCGTTTAATGAGGACTGCATACTAGTGGCTATTCATACTAGTGGCTATTCATTTTAATGAAGACGAGTAAGGGCACATGTTCAGTTAAATGGAGACTTTGAACAGCAACCTATATAAACAGCACAAATACAAACTGACTTACAAACCATTACACGGTTACATGATATGCCAACTACGGATTTTTTCATTTTTTATTGCTGTCTTAAGCTGTACTTCAAATGATTCAGCATGACCTTCTTGTGAATGGCACATTTACCGTTTTACAAAGCTGTCTAGACACATATAAACAGGAATAATTCCCTGGAAGTTTTAATGTTTATCATTTATTTGGATCTTCTTTACTGTATGGTCGTAAAGACACACTGAGTTATATGACTGACACATTTCTGGAGCATCCGCTCATGTTTCGACCTTAGAAATAAACAAGACCACTAATGAAAACCAATCTATTCTGAGATGTTCGAAAACCTTGCGACGTTTGTCATGTCAACAGTACAATAAAACGTGCGCAGACGTACCTGCTCAAAATTAGCAAATGCGTTTATGTAAGCATAGAGTTTACATGTACAAAATGTATAAATCGTACATATTTCACAAACTTCACGTCACACATATTTTGTCAATACAAAACCACGATTTTCGCCTGAAACTGTCATCTTGGTAAAAACTGCATTAATTGCGCAATGGGTATAAAAAATATTTAATTTCAGTCAGGGCCGTTTGAAGTTCATTGCCCCATGATGAAAATATTGATACTTGTATAAACATATATTATATAAAGCATCACACTGCAGTAAATTGAATTTAAACTTCTTCAATTTCTTCAATTGTGTTATAACACTGTGATGTATATGCTGATGAGACCCTAAAAGGAGCGGAAAGAATCTTCATGCATAGAAGAATATTTTGACTTCATAGACACATCTTATATCTTTCATGTACCCACCAAGCAAGTGTGGATATGGATATATAGTATGACCAGAAATTATTGAGAATTTTAGGAATATGTTTAATTGGATTTCTAGTATATACAACCTTGACCAGCTATCAAGTGCTTGGTTTCATTCAAGAGAGGCAACTCCGTTAATCCTTTTTCATTAGTTTGTGAAGAGTTATCCCCTTTGTATACTTGCTAGCAGACGACATTTTCAGTGATCCTCAGTATGGATGATTTAGAGAAGAAGTTGATTTTTGAGTATTATAACACGGACATCAGATCAGCTAAAGTGATTTCAAGTAAAACAGGCATCCCTTTGTCCACTGTTTATCGTGTTTTGAAAAATATTGCAAATGGATATGACATTGAGCACGAGGGAGGCGCAGGTAGGCCCAGAAAATTGACTGTCGGTGACAGGAGGCGGCTTGGTATTCTTGTTTCTAAAAACAAACGAAGGAGTTTGGCAGAAAAGTCGAGGAATTCCATCACCGATCATGAAACATGAACAAAAGGAGCGAAGGTTGAACTGGTGCTTACAGCATAGAAATTTTAACTGGGACAATGTGATTTTCTCAGATGAAAGTTCTGTGTGGCTGTTTCTTAATACACTGAAATTCTGGACCAAACAAACTGAAAAACCTTTGTATCAGCGCCCAGAGTACAGTCCGAAATTTAACGTGTGGGGTGGCATATCTGTGGAAGGGAATATGAACAGTGAGCGGAACACAGATATTCTCGAGGGACATTTACTTCAATCTGCTCACGTGTTCTATGGAAATGTTTGATTTTCCAGCAGGACAACGACCCCATCAAATTCACATATGACCCGAAATATGACATTATTAGATTGGCCAAGCTATAGCCCTGACCTAAATCCAATAGAAAATGTTTGGGGATTTATGAAGGAAAGTGTCAATAAGAAAAATCTGACAAATCTTGCTGAAATGAAAGAAGAGGTGGTCCGATATTGGGACAGCATGGACCACGACTTTCGAACTTCTTTGATCAGTAGTATGCCCCGCCGCATTGAAGCCTGCATTGCTGGCCATGGTGACTTGACAAAATACTAACTGTTCACCTCTCTTTGAATCTGGAGTTATGTTCTGCTAATATTCACAATTTACACGTGAGTAATGAGTGAAAATTAAAGACATTCTCAATAATTTCTGTTTGTACTGTATTATACGTATTCAGAGTATTTGTGTACCCTACTCAACAGGAAATACAGCAGAACTGCACAGCAAACCCCAAACAAGGACATACCTAAATACATCAGAACAACACACTACGAATACACCTGACCACAGCTTACACAGCACAACAAATACACCACGAACACACTGGGACACCGCACCAAACACACCACGAACACAACAGGACACCACACCACGAATACACCAGGACACCACACCCAGCACACCACGAACACACCAGGACACCACACCCAGCACACCACGAACACACCAGGACACCACACCCAACACACCACGAATACACCAGGACACCACACCCAACACACCACGATTACACCAGGACACCACACCCAACACACCACGAATACACAAGGACACCACCTCAAACATACCACGAATAGAGAAGGACTCCACGGGAAACACACACGAATACACCAGGACCCCACACCCAACACACCACGAGTACACCAGGACACCACACCAAACACACCACGAATACACCAGGACACCACACATACCACGAATAGAGAAGGACTCCACACACACACGAATACACCAGGACCCCACACCCAACACACCACGAATACACCAGGACACCACACCAGACACACCACGCACACACTGGGACACCTCACCAAACACACATGAATACACCAGGACACCACACCAAACACACCACGAATACACCAGGACACCACATCAAACACACCACGAATACACCAGGACACCACATCAAACACACCACGAGTACACCAGAACACCACACCAAACACACCACGAATACACCAGGAAACCACACCAAACACACCACGAGTACACCAGAACACCACACCAAACACACCACGAATACACCAGGACACCACATCAAACACACCACGAGTACACCAGAACACCTCACCAAACACACATGAATACACCAGGACACCACACCAAACACACCACACCAGGACACCACACACCAGGACACACACATACACCAGGACACCACACCAAACACACCACGAATACACCAGGACACCACACCAAACACCACGAATACACCAGGACACCACACCAGACACACCACGAATACACCAGGACACCACACCAAACACACCACGAATACACCAGGACACCACACCAAACACACCACGAATACACCAGGACACCACCACACACCAAACACAACACGAACAATACA